CCGCGCCCGGGGTCCGAGGTCGCCGGCCGCCCCGCTTCTCCGCGCCACCCGCGAATGCTGAGCTAGCCAGTTTCACCTTGTAAATTTCCCGGGCACCGGACTGTCTTTTTTTGGGGGCAGGTCCCGAGCTGAATCCGCTCCTCTAGGATCCGAGGCAGGCAGGCTGGCCGGCCGGCTGGCTGGCAGGCTGGCTGGCTCTTCACCCCCACCCCGAAACTTAGGAGACCCACCCATTTCCCACATTCCTCCCTCCCCGAGGAAGGTGTCGCGTTCCCCCCTCCTCGCTTCCCCTCTTTGCCCCACCACCCTGGGGAGTGCAGGGTGTGTGCGCGCTCCTGGGGAGAGCTGGGAGCCAGCGCCTGCTTGCTGGCGCTTCGTATTTTCCTTGGCAACCCGCTTCCCAGCCCCAACCTGGGCGGCTGCAGCTCTGGAGGCACGAAGAGAGGGGGATACTTGGTTTGGGTTTGAAAAGGGGGGAAGCGGTCTTAGATGGTCTAGTCTGGCCTGACGGGCACTGGGAGGCCCAGGTGTTATGGAAATCTGGGGAGAGGGGGACTGGGGAACCGGCAGCTGATAAAGAGCCCTTGTTCTTACCTTCAACCCTGCCCCTCCAACCCCAAATACAACCCCAAAGGGGGGGATCCTTCCCTCCCAGCGCTGCCTTTAACTTCGCGGTAGTCCCAGCACCTCTTCCTCCAGTTTCCCCAGACCCGGTGCCGGAGAGCAGGGAGGGTGAGCCGGCTGTCACCCAACTCCGACCCGAGCCAGGCTAGGCTGACTCACCCAGCCCTGTGAAGTGGAAGAGCAAAAACAGGGAATTCGTTTGAAACTTAAACTGTTGAGAGCCAGGAGGGTGAAAGGGCCAGCAAAGCCAGCTGATCTGACAGGGGGCCACATACCTAGGAGATTAAGTGAATATGTACTGTAGAAAACCAAACCTGCATGTAATTCCAGGTTGCTTTTGTTTTGTTAAATGCTGCCCTGAGATTTACAATTCCTCTGGGGTGGCTGGGACTGGGACTGAACTTTGGAGCCGGAGCTATCGGCCAAAGCCTATCGCCGTTTAACTCTTCCCTTGCCGGCCAGTGGAGGGGGGGGGCGGCCCGTCCGGGGCTCCTGCTTCTCCTTGGGTGGTTTGGACAGCTGCTTGACCTTGCAGTTGGAAGGGGAGTTCGGAAGTGTTTTTAACCCTTGGACACACACAAAAAGGAGAAATAAGACTTGTTCTCAGCAGTTTCATTTCCTTGGGGTGATGCCCTGGTTGAAGGGCTCCCAAAGCCCTTTGTGGAAGGGGATCAGGAGGGCCCGTGAGGGTGTCCTTGCTAGGGGTCGTGGGGTTTGGGACAGTCGCGTGTGATTGTCATTCCTTAGCTGTCTGCATCCCACAGAAACTTTCTTCGGGCTCTTCCAGCTGGCCCAGGTCCTGGGTCTCTTTTACTGCCCTTGTAACTGGCTGCAGTAGGCATATGAAGAACTCTTTTAGTCAATCTGGAAAAACTTGACTGACTATAAACAAGCCTAAATTGAAAGAAGTGTGCGGCATTGGGGGAGGAGTGCGGAAGAGTGCAGAGTGGGCCCTGCAGGGTCGCGCACTGGGAACCGAACCCCACCTCACTCAGGATGGAGGGTCTCTTCCAGGGAATAAGCCCAGAGCCAGTTAGAAATATGTCATAAATTGGCATCAGGTCACCAGAAACAGGATCCACGGGGCCTGGGAAACTGCCAGTGCCATTCATCCCAGGTTCCGTCATCAGACCAGTCAGGAGGACCAGGAGCGCTCCCTATAACTCATAATTATCCCACCAATTACTGGAGCGACTTTTTAATGAGCCGTCCTCTCGCTGTCACTGTCACGGTGGGAAATTTGGAATCGAGGCTTCTCGCCTGAGTCTATCTGGGGCCATTGAGAGGGCCATGGGATAATCTCCAGACCTAGGAGTGTTTGGGGGCCCAGTGGACTTGGGGACCAAGGGGCAAGTGTTGTG